GAACAATTTGATGGATGGAGAGAGCAGGATGGCTTGGGGGGGACTGTTCCTGATGTGCAGCCGCCTTGTGTACTGCGTAACCTATAGCAATCCTCCTTTTAATTTTCCATTTCTATTAACATCAATTATTTAACCTCATGAATATTAATGGACAACCTCAATTTAATATTCCTAATTCTATTTAGTAAATTAAAAAAGAGAGAAGAAAATGAAGGGCCTGTGAAGTTGGGAAGTAAATGCATTTTGAAGTTTTGTGCCTGCGCACAGGTTATTGCATCGGTTCAGAAGGGGGTGGGCAGAACGATGCCTTTTACGAGGGTTGCTTCCCAGCATTCACTCTTGAACCATGTTCGCTTGACTTCCTCTAGAGCAAGGTTCCACAACCCAAGGCTCTGGATACTTTAGGGTCCATAATTGCTCCTTGTTCATACAGTGGTGCCTTACTTAACGGCGATAATCTGTTCCAGGAAAATCGCCATTAAGCGAAAACATTGTAAAGTGAAAAAAAAACCCATTGTAACCCCTTCAATCAATTCCAGTGGGGTCAAAACTCACCGTCCAGTGAAGATCCTCCATAGGGCAGCTGTTTTTGCTGCCTGTCTTGTGAGGAATCCATCCCAGAAAACAGTGGGGAGCCATTTTGTTTACCCAGTGGCCATTTTGAAACCACCGATCAGCTGTTTTAAAATCGTTGTTTTGCGAAGAATCTGTTCCTGAAGCAGGGAACCGATCATCACAAAGCGAAAAAACCCCATTTAGACCATCGTTTTGCGATCACAAAAGCGAGGCACAACTATACTCCAAAGTCAGAGAGAAACCAAGTGGTGTTGGGAAGCTTACTGTGTGGGTTCTGAAACCATTGCCCCCCCCCACCCCACTAATTGCAGTGGGAAAAAGTGATCTGAGTGTACGAGGCTGGTGAAAAGGAACATATTGAGATGTCTGTCTGGTCTAGAGGTGGGAATGATTACATGCACATATATGGCCTGAGAGGTATGTGGGAAAGGAGGGTGGAGGTGGGAATTCCTTTATTACAGCATCTCAGTGGTAAACACACACACAAACACACACACACAATGAGGGAGTCAGGCTGTCTCCATCCCTGTTGAGCTTCCATTGGGCAGCCAAAAAATTAATTGTTCTGAAGGACCTTCGTTCTCTACCGTTGATTTTAAAATTGACTTTTAGACAGTGTTTTCAATCAGCTTTTATAAAATGCTTTTAATCTGTTTCTTTATATTTTTTAACCCATTTTAAATAATTTTAGCCAAAATCCTCTTGCTTTTTTTCCCCATGTGTATAAGTGAAATGTTTCCTTGTTACATGGTCTGCCAGGCATACACCCAGGCACACAATCAGTTGTGTATAGATATGGGGAGATCAGATGTGTGCAATGGGCAACAAGTCAGATTAACTTGTGAAGTTGACACGATTGTATAGGGCAATAGGATTTTGGCATTAATCTGTCCACTCTAAGTTGCTTTGGGAGCCATGGTAAGCAGAAAAACAGTAAAAGAGGAAGGAAGGAAGGAAGGAAG